TTCTTTACTTTCTTAGGTCTGCTATATTTCCTTATTTTATGAAGCTGTTTTCATTCCGGCTCGTAGTTAACAGTTTTATCAATATTTATTTTTATTCTGTCTAGAATTGTATTCGATGAATTTCTCAAGGAAAACAAATCACGTGTTACGTCTAATATGTAACCTACTATTTATCCTCTAATTTTAACTAAATTCCATTCATATAGATCTATCTATAACGCTTGATATCAATGCTTTCCATTTTCATTCATTCCATTGCTGAATAATTTAAATGCTTTGAAAAGATCAATATTCTGTGTTAACATGAAACTGTGTAAGGGAGAAAAACTGTACTCACGAAACCTTCATCTTTCTGTACTTCTATAAATATGCAGTCACTTTTATGTAAATGTTCGTGGTATTTCATCAGTATGCTGGTAGTTCATTACCTATATGTTTTCAACCTGAAGCTGGTGAACTATTAGAAAACTAAATTCTCCTATGTGTTTCTTAAATCACTCTATGTTTTAAAAAGTCCTGGTTTTACTATCTTCAAAAGACACTATTAGCTTTTCTAAATTTCAAATAAAAGGAAACTTAATGTAATCACTTTCAGAACTCATAGGGTAGTTCCTTTCTTTGCACAAACGAAACTAGAAACTGAAAAACAAAATCTAAATAATACACATATGGCAGGAAGTTTTCGCCGCCTTGTGTTACCTAACGTTTACGTATTTTAGGTGATTTCATATTGCTTACTATTACATTGCTTTTATGTTAATTAGCAAAGCAATGGCAATTTTATTGCGAAATTCAAACCATCTTCTCTTGATGTGTTTCCTCAATAGCTTTTTTTCATTCTTATTTCACGTGCCCTTCAGATTTCTAATACTTTCGCTGGCACTTGAATTCCTAATAATTTCAACTGTCAGTTCCTTCCCTGAGTATTAATGATCAATACTCTGAATATTCTTAGGCAGATAGCCCTTTTGTGCTTCGTCTTGTAAGAAAAAAGAATGTTAAGGGCAGTTTTAATTGAGTTTTCAGAGATTCACACTTTTTCACTACTAAATTTTTTTAGGCTTTATTTTTTTAATCTTCAAGAGAAAAAAAAAACCTTAACAGTACCCAGTTCTTTTATTCCAAAGAAAATAACTTTAATTATACAGACTATAACTGATATTTTCACTTGAGTTCAAACCCTGGCGAACAGGCTGACTGAAGACGTATTACGTAGTTCTTTTATGTGTAAGGTGGACACGAGCCTTAAAAAGTCCTCCATGAAGGCACCACTTCTCTTAAACAGATAGCCTTCGCATGATTTACTGAATTAGACTGGACAAAATATAAACTGCAGAATATAATCATCTTTAGGGAAGACTGTAATAAACAATTTTGACCTAGACTACTATTAGCTCTGCCGCAAATATCATGAAATATTTCCCAAAATATAGCATCAGAGACCCGTATGTTCTTTTGATTCTTTTACCTTTTCACAATCCATCTAGGAAATGCACTATTTATCTAAAGCGAAATGCATCACAAGAGATTGAAATACAGAGACCGTAGCACAGTTCTGTACATATCAATCTCTTTGATCCTTCTGTGATACAAAATGCTCTGAGTTTCTATCTTTGGTGCTACAAAATACAGTTCGATAAAAAAAATTTTATGTCCCCTTTTTTCTTTGAGTTTTAAAAATGTAACATAAAATAGAAGGAATTTGAAGAACTCATTTTTGTTTGAATTCATACCCTATTGGAATGAGTGTCGAAGGAAAATATTTCGGCAATATATTGTATTTCATGAATTCCAAAGCTTTATTTCCTGAATTCCAAAGAAATACGTGTTTGCATCAATCAAAACAAAAAATTCATATATTAAATTTAAAACATTTCTCACGAATATATTCAATTTTGAGTTATTTATAAGTTGATTATAAATCTGTCTGGTAAAACAATGCAAAAGTCTACAAAGAATTTCTGCAGTGTAGCTATGAGTATTTCTAGATGAAGAATATTTTAAAAACCTATCAGACCTGCTTAACATACTTTCAAGGAATGGAACACTCATGAGAATTTGTACTATATAATCAATGTCAATACCCTCTCTCTCCAGTACATTTCTAATATTTTACTCCGAGCTTCTTTTACCAAAACTTTTGCAACCACTAAGATTTGTGTTCGTGTTTTCAGCACACAAAATAGCTGCCTTGTTAAGCAAACGTAAAATTATACTGACGGGGATGCTTCACTAAAGCCCGAGACAAATCGGTTGTTTATTCCTCAAGGAATGGAAAACGTCCGCGCAACTACTCGACAAATGGGTTCCAGTTTCCGTGATTTTTCCTGTGATTCATATCCTATGAAGAAAATAGCCATGTTGGAAAACATTTCTTAGCCAAATGAAGAGTTTTTTTATTGTTTTAATTTTTCTGTAGCTTCTTCCTCCACTAGGAACAGTTACTGGCAACGTCAAAAGTATTCTTCATGCAACAACAAATTTGCTAGAATACAGTAGTTTTTACGTTGGAGATTTTCGATGAAACTTCTACAGCATTTATATCTTTAACTGCTAAGTTATAAGCCTCTTTTAAATCCAAAGGCCTTAAGTTTTTACAAGTTAGAAACTGAAGATCGTAAAATATCTCTTTTAGCTTTCATACCTCTATTTATAATAAAATGTTTTTTCTGAAAAATTAGTTCTTTTACCTCTTGGTTCTTGACGGTCTAATTTATTAACCTTCCTTTTTCATTTCTCTTCAAGTATAAGTGTATTTATCTTTAAATTTAAATTTTGCTGTATCTAAAGAATAAGTTCAGAAATGTTTTCTCACATCTGCTGTAAACAAAAATATAATTTCTTTCTTATATACTGCTGAGAGAGAAAATGCAACAACATGAAAAAGTAGAATGTGATGAAATTTTGAAGACGACTGCTAAAGAATGCATGTATAAATAAGTGATTTTAATATAAAAAAGAAACGCAATACAGTGATTGAATATACAGTGTGATCAGTGGAAAATATGACCATCTTATCCAATAGTGCAAGTAGCAATCCTTTGAGGTACAGATGAAAAAAGCGTGAGCATACTTTTTACCCAATGACGGGCATTTGCCTATAACAGCCCTGGCCACTATTAAGGCCAGAAGTGGTGGCCATTTTATTGTGATGGCACCTAATAGGCGTCCATCGTTACCTTCTATTAAGGGGCAGACAATCTTACATCCATGCCTTCTCCGAAATTCGAACCCGGGCCCTTCGGTATCGCACAGCCAGGTTTCCCTAAACACTATACCGTCTGTGCGGCGCGTGAGGATATTATACAGATAAATGAATGGCTTCTTGCCATTCATTTATCTTATTCATTACAGATAAATAAGATCATTTATCTTATTCATTACAGATAAATGAATGGCTTCTTGCCATTCATTTATCTGTAATGAATCTTCGACGGAGGCTCAGATCAATCAAATGCCAAACAACCATGCCATACAGGTTTTGGAATGGTATGAGATCTGGAGACCTCTATGACCAAGGAAGCATTTGGGTACCTTCCAGAGATAGTCTGCTGATGATTGAATTCTTCCGGGGAGCTTTATATTTCAGAAAAGCCGCTTCATTTAATACATAAAACAGCATTTCAACGTAGGAATGAAACCAGCTATAGCTACAGATTTAAGTGGAGCGACACATCTGAAAATCCCCATTGGTCCTAAAGGTGTAGTCCCATCAGTCGTACAAGTGTAGCTGTTAAGGGTCTGATGGAACCTTCTGTTAGCCTTCCGTCATTTTTTTTCCTTTTTGCTTAAAATTTTGAGTTTTAAAATGTGCATTTGAATGTTTCGAAACTGACTGCTATGAATAATAGCTGACATCAGACCACTGATCAGTGGAGACGAGATCTATAAAGCAACGAATCAAGATTAACCTCTACCGTTCGGATGCAAATTCTGGGTCCGGCGTCTGCCTGAAGAACGCCTCCTGCCAGAATGCATTGTGCCCACAGTAAAGTTCGGCGGAGATGGAATTATGATCCGCGGATATTTATCCTTTTATGGACTGAACCCTTGGTTCAAATTCATGGTGAACTGAATACCGACGCCTGTTGCAATATTTTGGATGACAGTATGCATCCTACGTTGTGACTTTTTACCTGTTGCACCCATGTTAATACTTTCAGGGTAACATCGCGAGCTGTTATGTTGCGATGTCCACCATGGATTGCTATGCCAATGGGGTTGTCATGGAGTGAATGACACTGTATTGATGTCAATGGGGTTGTCAGGGATTGAATGACACTCTATTGATGACAAGGGGGTTAACAGAACTGACTGACCTGCCCGAAGCTCAGACCTGAACGCTATCGAGAAACTCTAGGACGAGTTAGATCGCCGAATTAAGCTGCGCAACAACCATCCAATATTGTTGAAGAAACCTGACATGTCGTCTCAAAGCAAAGAGGAAAAAAATTCCAATAGCCATGATACAAGGACTTATGGAAAGCAAGCGCCAGAGGGTTGGTTTGCGTGGTTGGCCTCATTGGGCCTGTAAATGCCGTTCGTGTAGGTTCTACCAACTACTGAATTTGTTATAAATTTTGTTTTCATTTCTATTACAGGTTTCCAAATACTTACTGCTAGATATTGTATGTCAAACACATTTTTTACGCATCCAGTGTATTAATTTCAGATATGATGTCACATTCTGAATGTCATGTGCTTTTAACTTTAGTTTCAATACATTTTTAGAATACTTTTTTATAATACCTCTTTTCAATACTTCTCTATAAAAGCTGAGATCATAGAAGTTTAAATTGAATGAATAAATGTAAAATTTAATTTATGAGAAATGTTTTTAATTTCTATAGGGAGTTACATTCAACACTGTAATCACATATACAGTTATAATTATTAATAATGGAAGTGGTTCCCATCAGAAACATTAGCTCACGCTTTCAGCGTCATAAACAAAAGGGAAGATCAGCAAAGATCTTTAAAAAAAAATTTCACCTAAAGCTCCAGTAGTAAAAATATAATGAAAATACTTTTAGTCATTTTAGAATGACTATTGTCCTCTTTGGGTTGAAAAGGATTGCAGGAATTTCCGCTCTTCGTTTGCTTAGGGGTGATTAGAAGTAGCATCAATCCTGAAAACAATAACCAAAATGTAAATCACCAATCCCAAAAAAGCTTAACATAACTAAAGGAATTTTTATATATCCGCTTCTATTATAAGTTCTATGAAATTCGTTCAAGTAATGAATGGTAATGGCTAGTAGTCACGTATCTGAGAAGCGAATTTTTTGACAAAAATGGTGGGGCAAGCACTGAAGAAAATTTTCTAAAAAAATTAATTTTAAGTTAGAAACAGAATCCACTGTTGAAACTAGTTCAAAATACTGCTTGATAGCCTTTAATAGTATGATAAAATGTCAAACAGAAATGTAGAGCAGCTTACTATTAAAACTTAGGCATAACCATTTGAAGTTTTGTAAATTCATCATATACAATATATCTTAAAAACTTTGTTTCCTGTTCCAGCTTATCAGAGCATTATGCGATAATCGTGCTGAGCGTTTTCATCAGAAATTTACCCATAAACAGAATAGATGTAAAGTTCCTTTGCGTCCGCATGTGCCTGCCGAATTATACTGAGATTTTAAGAGATATGTTTTGAATGTAAAACACAGATGAAAATAGTGTGCTTTCAGCCTTTAGGCATATTCTGTCTTTAATGCCAAGATACTCATACAAACTTAACTATTACAAAAAATATTTTCGGGCTAATAAAATTCTAATAATATAGTTGAAATTAGTAAAAACATTCTGATGTTTAATTTGATTCGTGAAAGTAAATAAATAAAAGTACAAATATATTTCTCACCGTAATTATTATTACGGATTTTATACACTCTGAACAATTTTCCGTTAGTCTTCTTTGTCAGTTCTGAGATGAATTTCAAAAGTTATCCTCTTCGAAGAGCATGCACTACTTACTTTCGGCGGACAGTACGTGAGAGTTATTTTCGTTATATGAAGAGTACATTCGTGGAGGACTCTCTAAGAGAAACAAGCTAACAGTCACATTTGTTTATTTGACATTTCAGTTTTGTAGATAATAGAGATAAAATTTTAAAACGAAAAATTAAAGACTATGCTACATGCGTAACTGCAACTAATAACACTTAAAAATACTAACATTACAGAGCACTACACGCAGCGTCTAAAAAAACATGCCAAATATTGCGCTTGCGGGTATTTCCTTCGCTTGTTCTCTCAGTTAGTACTTCTTGCCTAGGAATGATTGGTATCATTGACAAGAATTTGTATACATGTTTTACGACTATTAAGTATTTAAGCATATTTTAAGCTATTTAAAAAACAAAACAAAATGGAATTTTTTAATAAAACGACAAAATAGTGGTTCACTTTAACAGAGTACTATTACATTCAAAACAAAGCGAATAGTCAGCGTATTTATTCAATAAAATTATGTGGGTAAAGAAGAGGAGTAAAAGAAGAAAAGAAGTAAAATGAAAAGTATCTCGCCGCGAATAACCTTCTCGTATAGCTGATTAATGAGGTAGGCAGAAACGGACGCAAGTGACTCTTTTCTCACTAGTTTAACGGTATTTGGAGGACACATTGCAATAAATTATTGCATCTAGTGCTTATGACACTATGGTCGTAATGTCATTTAATCTAAACAAGTACGAAATTTGTCTGTCCGCATTACGAGTAGTTTGTATGATGAATGTCACCCCAGAGACGTGATTTAGAAATACGTTGGAGACGATCTAAGAGTGTAATTACATTGTCTCGGAATCTTAGTCGTAATTTTAGCGAAGAAATTTATTTCAGAATAAAAGATTGTATGATTGGAATAGAAAGACCATTACATTTTTAGAAAATAATGAACTCCAAACTAGTTGTATTCGTCATTTTTATTTCTCCGAGGTTCCTTTAAGTAAATAGTAATTCTATTAGTAATTTAACTATTACATGCTATTAGAAATTCAATGGTTGGCTGGTTGTTGATTTCGTTTGCGCATAAACTGAAAGGTTATGATGCTCCAAAATATAGTGAATACACTTCATCTTGTTTAACGAAAGAGTAAAATTGTAAAATGTACTAATATAACATATTAATAACAATTTAAAAATTCAGTATTATTTATACTTTATAAAGGCTCAAACCTTTGCAAAAAAACACAATTTAAAATTTCCATTGTTTTCATGAACTTCAAAAGATGAATTCAGTTATAAAGCCAGGTAAAATCCCAACATATGAAATACACTAAGCTACTTTAATTCAAAAACGGATTAAAATAAAAATAAACTTTTCTTAAATACTGAAATTAATTCAGACCAGAAATTTTATAACTTAAAAAATATTACTGTAAAACTATTCTTTTTAACAAAAGTCTGTACTTTCAGAAGTTTGAAACAGTTATTCTTAGATGTATATAAAGATAATTTTACTGGCTGCCGTGAAGGATCGAGCTAATGTTATTCTTATTTACTGACAGGAATCAGAGAAAGAGACTGATTGCAAGGCGTAATACTAAAAAAATGAGAAGTGTTGTGTTTAGATCATATGCAATTTAATTATATGTTTAGATGCAACATATGGAATTTAATTATGTTTAGATCATATGCAATAATAATTGTTAATTTTTTGTTAACATTAAGGAACTGGATTTCAGATAAGCCTACACACTCTGAAAGTTTTAATTGTATAATTAAATTGTATATCTTAAATTCTTTCTTTCCTAATCTACCTAGTTCTTACTCCTTTTTTGGATATTAAAAATTTTACATATTTTGGTTTGTAGGTGAGTGTTCTATAAGGTAAAAATTAATTTGTTCTTTAAATATATTTTTCCATCTACAACAATGAATAGAGACTAACGCAAGCTTTCTGTCATAATTAATTCTGCATAAATGTTACACAACCTCTTATTTCTCTACGTGTTAATGCATTAGCTATGGTGTATATCTCTGCATTTAAATATGTTTATTGCAAGAAAGATTTCATTTTAATAATAATTCCTAAAATTAATAATAAATATGCCGCCAACCTGCACTATTGTTCATGTACAAAAAATGCACAGTGAAGTAAATACTAGTACTTCTAAAAGTTCTAAAATTCATCTCAGCTTTAACTTCTTGAATTCACTGAAAAATCATTATTAGCAAAAACAGATCCATCTGTTGTTGAAATCTTTCCGTAACCTTCTTCTGCTTCACTTATTTCTACCACTAACTTAAGTCATTAAAAAATCGTGGTATATTTTTCCTTCATATAAAGACTGTATTGCTTTGAATGAGGGAGACCCAACTAAGAAACATTTGTTTCCTTATGAAAACGTTATCGTTTATGTGAACAATGCCCCCCTAAGTTTCTATTTTCAGAGCCAGAAAAGTTTCATTCTAATGCCAAAAATAGATTTCTTCAGTAATCTCTCGTAATTCAAAAATTTCAATTTTAAACTTTTGAAGTGCGATATGGAAACAATATTCATTTTTTCACACAGTCGATTTCCAGAAGCAAAGGTAAAATCAATTTCATATCTTCAAAATGTGTTTGGTTAAAACTTTTGCTTCTTTCCGGTAATGACTTTTGCAATATACTTCTATCTTTATCTGCTGAAAAGTATATGATTTTCTTCCGGTAAAACTTTCAAAACTTTGACAGTATGTGAACATGAAGCCTATGCTGCATGCCGTACCTAACTTCATCAGTTCTTTCCTCTCTTTCAAATAACAAACATGCTCCATTCGCAAGTGGGTGCAAAGAGAGATATTTTAATATTTGAGAAGTAATGAAAAGAATGCACATCTCCTGCGTGATATTCATCTAGACTAAATGAGCGATTTCAATAAATTGCAAGTATTACTAAGAAACTAATCCACACTTGCAAGTTTAAAGCTTTGCTTGAAGATTAGCTAAGCTTTTAAAACTCATACCATAACAGTTTGCAGCACGGGATAAACTTCTGTTGAAGGCTCTAAAATTTATGAATACCTTTCTTATTTTTGAAGGAAAATATGATGTTATACAAATAAAGTACAGTGATGTCTTTAATTCCTTTCTAGTCTGCTAATATGTCTCAAACGTGCTTCTGCGAGATATATCTGATGTTTGCTTAATGCATATTCTAGGATAAAAAAAAATGTCTTTTATTGAATTTTCATGGTTAAAATGCTCATTTTGTATATTGAAGAAATATTTCAATTAATTAAAATAATTTCTGTGAACAGTTTAAATAACTATGAAAACTTGAGAATCTCTCACATGATCCTGAAGATTATACTGAAATTATACATCATATAGGAACACCGTAGTTTAGTACAGATGAAAATAATTTTTTTTTGAAAATGTAAATAAGAAAAATGAAAGATAAAATATGCACATTAAAGGAAAATATATAAATGCAAATAATATTTATACACTGCTCCACACTGAAACTGCAAATCCAAGAAAAAAATGTCGTAAAAGTTTGAAAGTCATAAAATTCGACAGATATGTTAGTCATATGCAAGTAATCAAAAATGGGAAGCATAATGTTTAAATAACCCCGATTTATTCAGTATATAATACGATCGCCACAAGAGCAAATACTTTCACTTACAGGCCTTGGCACACTATAAATGAGCTAATTAATCTTTTCTTGAGAAATTTTTTTTGCTACATGCACTTGGATACTTGGATACGAGGAACATGCTGATTACCCTTGTTGTGCTGAAAAACGGTTTCTAGAATATCACGGAATAATGGCCATATCACTAATTCGTTGACTAACTCAACATAATAAACTACCAGGGTACCAAAAAGGAAAACTAGAGGGGTCCATCTACCAGACATTATGCCACTCAGCATCATTATCATAGAGGCAGAGACGTTTTTCTCGTGAAGGATTGTTGATAACTTTGGGGCCGCGTGGTCTCTAGAATACTCTTCGACCATCATTATTTCTGAGATAGCTTCGAAAGTCATTGCTGAAGAGGCTAGTCTTCCGTTCTAACCTCCGCTACCACTTGGATATGCACTGCAATATCCTTTCAGAGCGGAGCCTTGTGATCGCTTTAGAGCGGTGGTTTCTAGTCACTAGTTGAACGTCTGGCTCATAGACAGGTATAGTCT